ACCATATATCACGCATCGATTAATCTCTATCGTTCGACATACATACGTATAATGCACCGATAGATATTTCCTTCTTTTAAATTTTATATAATTTTTTTTTTTTTTTTTTTTTTCTCTCTTTTTTTTTTTTTTTTTTTTTTTTTTTTTATATTTTTATCATTTTTTTCATTACTTTTTTTTAAAAAATTTTCTTTTTCATTCGTTCCTTCATTGCGACGAAACGAGAGAACCTTTCCTGGCTTTTAATCACCCAAACGATATTACCAAATTCACTAGCTTTATCGTCGACCGTTAAACCGTTGACGACGACGATGCGTCTCTACCGTCACTTTTATCACTTTTATCATCGCTTTTCTCATTACTCTACTCCATAATGTCATGGAAATGCCGGAGGTCGGCGTACTAAACAGCCTCGAGTGCTCGTTAAATCAGCACTTGTCGGCTCTAATTTCTTACCCAACGAAGATAATAGTGTACTTTCTTTTTTTTTTCCTTTCTTTCCTTACTCTCGCACCCCTTTATCTTTTTTATCGGAAGTAACTTGCCGGGGATAAAATATTAAGTGACGTTAGTCGGTTGTGTTTACGCGACCAGGTGTACCACATAATGTGGTTGTTGAAAAAAAAAAAAACAAGAAAAACGGAATAAAAGGAACAACGGTTGTGCGGTAACACGAGATAAAACGAGAAAGAGAATAACGAAGAGAGATGGGTATTGTGATGGTTACAGGTGGGAAAGGGGATGGTTGGGAGGGTAAGTGGGGTTTACTACTAACTTATTTTATTTTCTATCTTACTTCAAATAAGACGAGACTTTCTCTCACTTTAGTGTACGCGTCTTGATATGTACATAGAGCACAACAAACTAATTCCATTTACTGCTAGCAATGTCTACGGTGACACAGAGTTTACTCTTCTCGTAGTGGATCTAAGAAACCGATGCTCAACATTTTCAAGCCGAAGAATAACACGAGTTTCAATTTTGTCTACTATTATTTCACTTGTTAAGTCCTTTCTCGTCTTTTTAACTACCATTTTCGATTAGTTGTTCGAAATCGTTTTCAGGATTACTCCTACTCCTCTTTATTTTGTATATATATATATATGCATGTACGTGTCAGTTCTAACAATATTCATATATGTCAAGGTTTATTTAACATGGATCAACGTACCATGGGAAAACGTGAGTGTCGCTTTTGCGAAAGGCACATCTCGAATAGTTGAAAGTTAGATTATAACTTTGCTAGTAAAGACGATAACTCGATCTTCCTTAACATTCTATTGGTAGATACACCAAAGTTTGCTTTTTGCTTAAACTATTTGTTGTTAAGTTCTGTTATTTTCCAAAATATGTGTTTGTGTTATTTGAACGATGTTTAAATTAAATATATCGTTAGACAACAAAATGACTATTAAGATTTACTATAACACTAATATAAAATAATGAATGTAAACACTGTATGTATAATACACATAACTGGATGCATAAAAGTGACTCAAATGTATTAATTAATGCAACTATCCGTGTTTTATGAAATAACTTAGCAGACTACGAATACATTGCAAATAATAGTTCATTCTAACGACGGTAGGACATATTTGGACTTTTATTATTTCCTAGCTTGAATATTTGTATAATTTTAACTCCCGTGTAACGCGAGTATAATGCACGTCGGTAATTAAAGGACCAATTTTGTAACTCGAACGGAAACATTCGAACTCACTCTCCTAACTAATAGAAAGAAAAACATGACGATGTATAGGCACGTATATGTATATATATATATACATACCACCCCCCTCCCCACACCCACACATACAAACACACACACATATCTATATATACGTGCATATATTCCAAGTTATACTATATCTCGTTCGTATAGCAATTGTAGGGAGTGTACAAGCGGTTACAGAATTAACGTCGCGCCGTTTAAATGGAGTTTCGAAAGGTGACAACGATGGAAAGTTTAAATTGCTTTAGTTTTAGTGTTCCGAGCTTATCTTGTTCGCGGATAGTACTCGTGTATAACGAATTTGCTTTCTTACGTGTTTTCTTCTCCCACCCTTTATCTTTTTACGCGTTAAAAAGCTTCTACGTCGATGAAAATCATCATAGTACTTGTTCACGGATTCTTAAACCTAAGGTATTGCATGGCCTAGATTTTCTTATTTTACGAGCTTGAATGTTCTCGACCGTTGCTTTCCAACGAGTTTGAGTTTTATTCACTAAACTAAGAGAGTAGCAAAGACCCACCTCTGCATTTCTAACGACCAACTCGAATAATGAATTCTTACGCTTTCCTATTACTCAGTTAAAACTCGACCGTGTCGAATCGAGTTATGAAAGCGTAGCAATGTATTAAGAATGTCGTTATGAGATAAAAAAAAGAAAGAAAGAAAGAGAGAGAGAGAGAGAGAGAGAGAGAAAAAGAAAGAAAAAGAAAAGGGAATGAGGAAGAATGTCAGGACTCTTCTTAATCGTCTAATCCCATTTTCCCCATTTATTTTCGAATAGTAAAATCGTTCTACCGTTTTCTAGAACATTTTCTAATTGAGAAAATTACTATCCAGCAGACGTTTCGGGAGTCATCTACCAACCCTTTTCGCCGTTTCCTTTTTTCCTTCATTCTCTAAGAAAATCTCTTTAAAATGTTGGTCGGATGATAATGTTCCCTTTAATTGTTAAAAAACGTTCTTTAATATTTACACTGGCTGGAGGACTCCGTAGTTGAAAGTTAAAAAAAGAAGATTTGAAGAAGAAGAAGAAGAAACGACGGGCATTTTGTCGAGAATAAAGAATAATTATCTCGAAAGCGCTGGGTAAAGCAAGACTCGCTATTGGATTACGAACGATGATGCTTCGATGGAAATTTAAAAATAAACTATTAGCATTTGTGTTTGTGATAATTACTAAAATTATTATCTTTAGTTTTTCGTAATTTAATTGTGTTTTCAATGGACGAACGATTTCTTTAAAAAAAATTCATTTAATTCATTTAATATTTTCAGTTCTTTCGTGTTGTAAGAAAAAAAAAAACAGAACAGAAGAAGAAGAAGAAACTTATTAAAAAAATTCGTACAATTTTTCACATTAAATATAGAAAATTCGTAGAAAACACAAAATTTGTATAGTTAATCAAAAATGAATGTTAAAAATCAATCGGAAAAGTATTATCGAGAAAATGTTCGAACTAAACACAACAGATATATTATTTTGATTGTTTGACCAACCTGATACCACCTCTCGTCGTGTCGTAGTTCAGAGTTCGATTACCATGGAGCCATTGGACGACACTGTACTGGACCTGCATCGCTATGTGACGCACAACACATAACAGTTCGATGGTGCTATCTGCTTCATAGTATTTATCCCTTAGCGGTTGACCCGCGGCGTCCACTATTTGGACGGATGGCGCTGAAATCGGATAAAATAAAACGAATTTTAAAGATGTGATCCATTTAAAAGAGTAAATATTGTTTTTTTCTTTCTCAAGATTTTTTCTATCCAAGAAAAAAAAAAAAAGAATATCTATAATATATTATAACATTTTATATATTTATCAAAATATAATCGTTTATTATATCGGAATATACGAATATTTATCGCGAGATTATGAATATCTATAAGAGATAAAATACATTGAGTATATTATAATAAATAATAAAACAAAATTGGCATCCCGTTCGCTCGGGACGTATCATCGAAAACTCCGTTAACGTTTTCATTTTCCGAATTTATTAATCAACGATCACATTATGGAAATTCATATTCGCACCTTCCCGTATTAAACACAATCAGTGAGGGATGTGGCGGTTAATATTATCATGTGTAGTAGTATCGTTAAAATCCTGTCGATTATAAATTATCGTTCGAAAATAAATCTCAACGTTTCATTCGACGAAATAATTCGCCAATTTTCTCCTTTTCTATCTTCCTTCTCTCTTCCTCTCTCTCTTTGACCTAAATACTTCGAGCACTATCGGATTACGGCTGACTTGAGCCAAGAGTATTTTATTTTATGGGGGTGAGGGAGGGAGGGGGGGGGCGGGGGACCAATAAATATTGACTAAACGCGTTTGTCCACACGCACACATCTGTATATAGAGTTTAACGTTGGTGCGAGCCGATTCAAAAGCGGGTCCACCCTATCCTCGTTTTCTGGATCTCTTCCAGGTACGAGATCGGAAGCGTTAGGGCTTACGAATGTGTATTAGTGTATATATATAGTACGTGTGTTGGTATTCATGAAAGAGAAGAGGAATATATATATATATATATTAACTAGGCCGTATATATATAGGTGTCTTTACGCGTCTGTATGTTTGTGGCCACTCGAAAAGAATCATGAAGAAGGGAAATGCTTTGAGTATAGATCTCGACTGCTCTCGAGTGATATTTTCGAGTTCATGAATAGGTGAAAAATGTTTTGCCCCTGCCAACTTCTGTTCCCAATCGTTTTCCTCTTATTTGATGCCACTGCGTTTAGAATCTTTTTGCAGTAACTTCCACAAAACTATACAAAACGCGTCGAGGACTTCTTCCGTTCTATCGTTTTCTTCCATTTAACAATATTTTCTTTCTTTACTGTTGTTCCATTAAAATATCTTATATGTGACCGACAGGTTAAAAATATCGAAAAGATTATTTTATCAAGACTTACGTTATAAATAGATCGACTTTAATTTACTTTAACTCCAATTTTGTTTTATTGTTTTGACGTCTTTATGATGAAAAAGACGATTTTTGTATAAATTTTGCTAGTACGCGTTGTAAAACAACGAGGAAACAATTTACTGAAATTAAATTATTTACTTTTTTACTTAAGAGAATCTGTTTTTGTTGTTGTTGTTTAATAGATCATTTACCAAGGGGGATACTAATAAGAAAAATCCCGTAAGCTTAATAGAATGAAAAGGTATATTAAAGACTCGTCGAATGGTTGATTTACAGATAACTTTAGCAATTCGGATGGCACCTCTTTCTAGTTGGTATCTTCCTGTGTCTAGGATTATATACACTGATCCTTTATTCTTCGTTCGGTAGCTCGTACAACAAGGGAACACGACCCTTCTGCTTCTTGGTATGTATAAGTGACAACGGCTTGCGTAGTTTCGAGAAGATTATCTGACCGGGATCCTTTCTCAAATCCTTCGGCTGAACATGTCTGAACGAATTCTCGGATATAACGATAACATTCATCGATTTCGTATTACACCTGGATCAACACTCGTGATCGTAAATTATACCAATTTCTATTGGCATATAAATAAGGATATATCGATACATTATTTCTTATTTTTTTCTTTTTTTTTTTTTTTTCTTTTCTAACATACACCTAAAATTTTTTTCTTTTTCCTTTTTTTATTTTTAAGTAAAAAAATTCTTTTCGTCCTCGTTCACGAGCGTCGTTTCATTGAATAATAGAAATAGATGCTGCGAACAGTTCTCAAGTAATTTTTTCATTACGCAAATATACTGCAGAAAGTTAATAATATAAATTTTCTCGTCGGAACAAACTCGTGGCAAATTCCCATGAGATAAGCAACACGAAATGGATTTTTCAAAGTATATCGTTTAGTTGAATAAGAGAGAGAAAGATAGAGGGACAGAGAGAGAGAGAGAGAGAGAGAGAGAGAGAGAGAGAGAGAGAGAGAGAGAGGGGTGGGAAGGGAAAGTTACGAAAGAATCTTCTGAAAGTTTACGAAGAAGGTGTCATAATTCCTTTTCTAAAAAAAACAAAACGTTTATGCTCTCGACCTTTCCGTTATGAAAGTTTCTTTTTAGTAGTAGGAAATTAACTTTGTCGATCGAGGAAACAAGAAGGAAAGTATATATATATATAAATACGACTTTTTCTAAATATGTATTTATTCTTGTTTAATCTAGTTCAAAAAAGAAAGAAAAAAAAAAAAGAAAAGAAAAAAAAAATTAGCTCCATAGATTATATGAATATTCGGATGCGAATGAAATATACGAGATATTTATTTTTGTTCTCGCGTTAAATTAGTTGAACACAATTTTCTTTATTTCGTCTACTTGATAAATTAAAAGCGTCTCGAGAGAAAGATGAGAAAATAAAAAAGATCCGATAGAATTTTGTTCTCTGAAAGACATTTCGTCGAAATCGCGAATAATAAGTTTCTCTCGCGAAATTCGAACAAAATTTTACCTATAGAAATTTTTCGTCCAATCTCTTTACGAATTTATGTCTACGTTCTCGCGTGAAATACGTTCGTATTTATTATAAAAAAACAACAAAATGATAATCGCTTGATTTGCTCATTAGCTGTGTACTACGAATATCATGGCATCAAGTTTTTCAATCATAACTTTTATTTTTCGAAAATCTTAAGTATGATTATTATCAGTCCATTCAAATTACGAATGTTGAGATTTATTTGTTCTACTTAAGGAAAACGAAAATATTGTAAAATTAAGCGACGCTTTTGAAAAAGAATGAAAAATACGTTCCCCCCATTAAATTTGATTTACACATTGAGAGAGTATAATATGATATAAAAAAATAAAAATAATTATAAGAAAGTAAAATATTATTTCTAAGTTTACACCCCCCCTATCGTTATTCTAACGTTTACGGAATGCCTCAGAATGAATTTACGAGGGTGACGTTGTTATAGAAGTTTGCTCGACGGTTTGTCGGTAGCACGACAAGTATTTGCTGCTACTTGAAGATAGGTCCGTTGGACGGAAACTGGAGCAAACTGAAATTCCTGAGTGGGTATTGACGGCCCGTGGTCGAAACATTAACGCCCATAACTAGTTTTGACGAATTGCAGAAATGAATAATCCTGTTAAATCGTTCCTAATCTCTTCAACAACTTGAATGTTAGGCATGGCACACCTAACTGCCATTATAAAATTAATAGAGCTATTCTCTATGAGATATTACGAGCTGATTATATTGCTACTATTAATAATTTAAACGATTACGTTAATTTCCTTTAGAAATTTTCCTGGGTTTAAACGAGATACTTCAATTTGAAAATAATTCATTCAAATAAAAGTGAAATTAATATTTCTAAACAGTTTGTGAAAAATTGATGTCAGAAAATAATTTTGTTTAACAAGGATACACTTAAATAACGACGTTTAGTTTATTTCTTACAAAAAAACTATTTAAATAAATTACAAATTGACATCGGACAATTTCAAACACACACATAACGAATTACACTAGTTGTCCACTATTCCGGTTACATTTTAAGCAGAGTTCTTCTTCTAAAACCATATCAAGTTTCTTACGTAACCACGAAATTGTACAGTACACACAGGCTTGACAGAAGACATTAATCCTATCCAATTCTCTTTTGCGAATCGACGAAACTAACTTTCTTCCGTTTTCGTTCACAAAGTCTCATCGAATAGTCGGCTCACCGGCACTCTCCGTCCATTTCAACTATGCCACTTCGCCTTCAATTATTCTATCTAACCGGTCTCTTCCTACTACCGAGGACTTTGCGAACGAAGGCAATTTGTTCGATCGCTAGCGGAATACCAGAACTATCTCTCTCTCTCTCTTTATCTCTCCTCTCTTCCATTCTCTCCTTCATTCCGCTATTCTTTCTCTCATTCTACGTTTTATTCTCTCCTACTAATCTAATAGACAGGAATATCACCGTGAGATCTCTTTCATTTCGATTGGCTACATTTTGCGAATTTCTTTCGTTCCGTAACTTCCAACGATATTTTACATTTTTCCTTTTTTTTTTTTTCTTCTTTACTTTTCAACCCCCTACCCACCGCCACCACCCCCTCCCCCCACTCAAATTTTAATACGCTATTTTATCATTTCATTACGAATTCATTTGATATTTGAATATTATCGAAGAAAAAGAAAATAACTACAATAATTGCAATAACAGTAATTAAAATATACTCGTAAAATTTAAATAGAAATGAGTTATTTATTATTAAATATATAACTATATATACAAGGTACTTTTAATGTCAAGAGGTCTCTCGTATCGAATGTAATTACATTAAGCTCAATTTCATATAGAACCACCTCATTCGAGATTCCCTTTTTCTTTTTACTTTTTTCTTATTCTCTCGAAATGAACGATTCGAAAGGGGGGGGGAAAAATTGTAGCGTATTAAGGGAAAAAAGACCATACCGTTTTCGCAGGAAAATCGTTCGGAACGATCTTCAACGGGTTTCTAAACCGTAGAGCATAGTAATGCGGTAATGAGGATGGTAATCGGTGCATAAAAGGAAAGAAGATTCTCCAACGAAATGTCTTGCAGAGCTTATTCGCGAGAGAAACATTGTTATCGTTTAAAAACGATAAAAGGTACACGAAAAAGAGAGAAGTGTTGAAGAGAGATAGAGAGAGAGAGAGAGAGATAGAGAAAGAAAAAGATTGTAAGATCGTAGGAGCAAGTGGAACAAAATACAGCTTCTATTTCGTAGAAAATGAAAGAGAAAGAGAGAGAAAGAGATAGATAGATATAGGATAGAATAGAATAGGTAGGTGGGTATACACAATGAAATTGTAGGTTTTTCAAAAGGTTTCGTCGAGCTTATTCTCTTAGCAACGTAATACTACGTACATATATGCTTGCATAGGTGTATCGATGATACAAAGGAAAATGTAACAAACGAAAAACGAAAAAAGGAAAAAAAAAAAAAAAAAGAAAGAAACTAAATAAAAATATATTCAAAGTTATATACCTTTTTATATATAACCATATTGAATTGATACAGGACACGTGTTCGACGCTTCGAAGCTAGCTAGCAAGATTGACTGACATCAAAGGGACTCGTTCGTGTTTTATATTCACTCGTACGAATGTAAACAATATATTATGTGATGTGTTGGTAGGATACGTGGTGTTACATATATACCTTGTGTATCGTAAAAATACAGATAATAGTATCCTTTGTAGTATAGAATATGAGATGCTTACCGTTGATGTGCAAGTTTACGAGAATAAACTTTGGCGGAAAGGTGCTGATCTGACATTCATATTGACCCTCATCGCTACTGTTCACGCTTTTTATTTGTAAACGCCAATTGTCCGGATATTGAAATTCGATGGTGTACCTTGAATCACCTGTATACGTCTGACGACCGACTGTCAATAAATTCATTTTTTCACCGTTATCCTGTCTCCTTACCCAGGATACCTGTAAACGACAAAAAACAAATTCATTTTATTTTTATGTAACAATAAGAATCCACTTCTCGTGAATATTCAAAAGGATGGATTATTTTCGTTGTGAAAATTGATTAAAAAGAAAAAAAAAAAGAAAAAAAAGGAATATTTTAATAAGTAAAATAATCAAAGTTGCGTGTTGGAAGTAAATAGATAGCAGGTGAAAATATCAACAGGTGCGTAAAGCTTCGTTGATATTCTTCGAACGATTGAAGTCAATATTTTTGAGAACTACTCGCGTACATGCATGCATACATTCAATTCCTATATTTATATTATTTCTCTCTCTCTCTCTCTTTCTTTCTCTTTTGACAGAAAACATGACACTTCGTTATACAAATAGATAACCATAGTAGTACTCTTTTTAAACGCGATCTGTAACGTTCGATCGCAACGTAAAAGCATAATTTTGAACATGGTCGAAAGTTTATCTGAATGTTTGGGGGGACGAGGGGGTGGGGGTGGGGGACGTTGGATAGAGAACGAACCGATTGGAAGGTGTCGCGTTAGAGAGAGATAGAGAGAGAGAGAGAGAGAAGGTTGGGCAAAAGCGTAGGACAGAGTATGCAGTTTATCCGCGTAATTGGAATTGGATAGTGTGTTTCCGAGTAACTCCATTAAATGCACGCGATATCGTACATCTTCTACATGGATATCTACGAGGTATACCGGTATTATCTGCCCAACCGAGATTCGTGCGTTGTGTATAGCCACACACGTTCCACCCAGGGTTACACCTTGTAATCGGTGTTACCTCTCGTTTCACCTTTCTGCCATCCCATAAAATAACTATTGCAAAATAACTTTCTACGCGATCCATATCTATGAGCTTTTCAATACTTTCTACATGTTATATGGTTTAATTTGATTGATTTATGATCGGCTAATGATAATCAATGGATGTTGAATGTTCGTTAAATATAACAATGAACAATTTTTATATAACTGTAAAATGTAAAATATTTCTTTTGTATATTGAATTTGTTTGATCTACATGTATATTTTTTGTCTCCTAATTATTTCGATTATATTTATATATTTGAAAAAAGGGAAGAACATTTGGATTGTAAACGTTATCCAATTAAAAAAGTATCCAACGTAACCGTATATATATATATATCGAATATAAAAAAAAAATTGAAGGCACCTTTTAAAATCGCATATACCTATCTGACCGGTTAATCGTTTAACGATACTCCCGGCATATAATAGCAACAAAACGCACAACTTTTTATACTCTATCCATCATTCCCATTCATCATTCGTTATTCATTATCCATCAATTATTATATCACATGAAAGTTGAAAATTGTAAAAACGTTTTAACACAGACTGATCGTTATACGATTCGTTTATATTTATTTGAGAAATTTACGATGAAATATGTCTATATGAATTTTGTCTTATGGTGGAAATGTATTGTATTTATATCGATCGTATGACAGGCACGCAATAAGTGTGATGATCTTTGATAGACACTAAAATTAATTCTACATAGATGATAATCGCATACAGATAATGTCGTTAAGTAGTAACACTAACAGAAATGATATTAATTGTCCATATTCCTCTGAAACACGAGAGACAGAGATAGGGAGAGAGAAAGAGAGAGAGAGAGAGAGAGAGAGAAAGTAAAAGTAAAAGTGTAAGTGAGAAAGACGAGGGTGAGAGGTCAGAGTTCAGTAAAGTGCTCCGTTTTCAGGATATATTCATAACCGAACGAAGTGGGTAGCGATGATGGTGGTTCAGGGTTTCTCGACGTTTTAGCATTTCGAACGGGAGAATGGATACGTTCTAGAGGATCATAACCATTAGCAGTAAAAGCGGTAACTCTTTGATATACTGAACATATCGTGCACTCGTAATCATCAAATTATGTAAATTATCGTTGGAAGTTACCCATCCTAATGCACGACTCTTCCGTATTTTTTTCTTTTTCTCAAACTTCGTACTTAGTTACGATTTTTTTTCTTCTTTTTACTGATCATTAAAATGTCACATCGTTTTTACTTACACAGAGTTTGACGTTATTTTTGTTTTTTTTTTTTTTTTCTTTTATTTATTGGCGTGCACGGACTTTTCTCAGCTTCGCAAAATATTTGGTACAATAATTATAATATAATTAATAAATCTTATATTAATGATTCGAAGGAGGGATGGGGGGGGGATATTTACTTATGGTAAAAACAGTTCATATGACGTTTCCATATACGATAAAATTATAATTATATGTAATTAGGAATTTGCACAATCCCGTTTAGGATACAGCCGCGAGGAGAAATTGGATTCTTCAATCAGATGGTTAGTAGTAACCGTAATTAGTATTATGCTAATAGCGAACGAGGTCTCGGTTGATGTAAATTAACTCGGTACACGCAATATGTATTTGTGATAGTTGGTAATAACATTGGTTCTCGATTATTAAAGGAAATATTTGATGGAAGGTCTATTAAGGATTCCATCGGACACGAACCATCAAAGGGCTTCTTTGACGATATCGACGAAGTAACAGACAAGATGTACTTATACTGCTTTGCCAAACTATTCTCGCTTATCGTTATTATGTCATCGGTATTTCCAAAGCAAATTACTTACTGGTTCGATACTAAGCAAAAAGAAATTTCTCTCTCTCTCTCTCTCTCTCGAAAAAAGGAAAAATAGAGAAAGAGATAAGTATCTATTTTAGAAGTGACTCCCTTTGGTAAAAGCAAATTGAAAATTTGAAAATTTGTGGAAACGAAGAGGAGGAGGCTGCTTGTTAAACGGAACACAGAATGGTAAGAAAGGTGACAAGCTAGACGGAAATACTCTTCGTAAGTTGACGTTACTTCTCAGAGAATTTCCCTTGACCCTTTGAACACGCTGACTAAGCCAACGAAATTTTCAAACGACTCTTTTGAAATTGAATGAAAGTCGTGAGCTTGTTAGGTGCGGAACCGTCAGTCACTCGATGGAAAAACTAACATATCTAAAGGAAACGATCGTTTTTACCTCGACACTTTTTTAATTATCGAATATAATCTAGAACAGATGTGAACAAAATTGATACAGAGTAAAGGGAATCAAATATTTTACTTTAAAATAAAAAATACATAGGTGAAATAATTTAATAACTAATTAAGCCGTAACATCAAACCGTACGTACTCGTTTTTCCCAGTTATTCGATCAATAATTTCAATCAATTATCACACTTTTTATCTACAATATTTGGTTCTCTCTTACATCTGATAGATTTACATTTGATATAGAAAAACGAAAATGTTCGGTATTCAATGAGAATGCGGAATGATGGTTCGTTGTTTAATGATTCGAGATTATACAATGATTTTGATATTTTAAGTGGTATAGTAGTAGGAGAAATTTCGTTAGTGATCAAATGCATTTGGGGTATACCGTGTGTCGCGTATCTATATGTTTATACATGTCAGTTGCATTCTTGTATTAAGGTATTGCGAAATGCGATTGCCCGACTTTTCGTATGTATCCTTTCTGTCTCGTACCACTATACCGCGGATGGGAAAATGCGGCCCGATTGTGGCCGTATTGACGTGCGACGTGATGTACAAACAGGACGACGCGGGAAGAAGGAGGACAGAATTCTAAATGACTCGTCGAAGGAAAGACAAATACGTTCGTGCTCGGCACGGAGTTGTTGGTTCTTCGAGAAAACCAGACTGTGAGATTTACTTGGCACATAAAGTTCGATTTAAAGAATTACTATCTATATACGATCTAAAACGTGAAAAAAAGGAAATTAACTCATCGCACTCTGGCATAGAATATTTTATTGACGCGTTTTAACGATCCTACTTACTGATTGTGAGTTCATTGTAAAAGTACAATATTTGATTTATCTATGATGATTTTCACAAATTAAACTAATTTCTACATTTATACAATTTTCATTTGCCCTTTTTCTCTTTCTATATCTCTTTCCATCTCTCGTGCTTTTATTAATTTATTCGTTTGCCAACACTGCCATTACATATTCATAAGGCGTAGATTTTCTCGGAATTTCCTTCTACACATATTTGCTCTCACCCTGTATCATAACGTGTCTCATTGAAACGTTATAACGTTTAGACAGCTAAAATACGTCTCGTGTTACGTTTATTAACCCTTTTACAAGCGATTAGATAATCGAGGAATTTGTAAAGATATTATTGTGTCATTAAATAACTAATCCATAGTAATTATTCTATCATATAATAAATACTTAATATTTATTATTAATAATCGATAAACGTAGCTTAAAACATTTAACGTGAAATTATTATTCGATTTAACGATAAGAGATTAATCGCATATAGGATCGAAGTTTAAAATTTAAACGTACATACCGTTTTATCCTGTAACAATGATATCTTGCAATCGAGAATAACGTTGGCGCCAGCTTGAATGGTCAGATTTTTCGCTGAACTTTCACCCTCGAAGTGAGGACCCCAACGATGATCGTGGTGATGTTGATGCTTATTCAAGGTGCTATGTGCATCGAATATGTAATTTAGCATCGGTGCATCTGTTGGCATCGATCGCTTTGCCGTTGTCGTTGCTCTCGTTGATATTTGATCCGTTGACAAAGGTAAATCTGTACAAAAATCCAATAATTATTATGTTAACAATATATATATATATATACAGAAAATATTAAAATTCTTCGATAAAACGGGGGAGGTGGAGGAGGAAATAAATTTAACCAAAAATTCTATCCAAGATTTTCGTACGTGTGTATAAATTGCATTTTCCTTTATTTTCTTTTTTACTTTTCATTTCTATGATTTATTATACGTAATATTCGATACGTCAAAAATAAGATTCGCATCGTTTTCCTATCGTAAGCACGTTGAATATCGATTCGAACCCTTCGAACTTGATCGGAGACATTTGCTGCGTGCCTTATCGCGATACTCGTCGTATCCCCCCTCCCCTCACCCCCACGTCATCGCTTCGAACGACTCCATTTACGACTTCGCGACTCCAAGTGACATTCTGTTCGTGCTGGGGGTAAGGAAGGTGTCAAGGTGGAATTCGAGAGAATATTAGTCATGGCTTTCTTTTTTTTGATACGTAAGATGATTTTCAATACGCGCGAACGATGTGTTACACGTTACGATGTTACATTTCTTATTATTATCATATTGTTCAACACAATTTTGTTTGTAAAATACTGCATCCTTTTTTTTTTCAATAAAGTTTGTCCCTTTTTTATTTTGTTACATTTACTATCGTGTATATATCATTTATAATTACGCGAACGCGTATTAATTTCAAATGAAACGAATATTTTCATTTATTTATTATTCGACGATGTTATCCTTCCTTTTTTTCTTCATCCATCACGATCGGAAAAGTAGATCAGACGATTTCACGTGATATGGCACGCACGTGAACAGGTTTCGTAATAAGTATGCCAAAAGAACGAATCAAAATTGAGGTACTCTCTTTCTCTTTCTCTCTCTCTCTCTCTCTCGATATATATATATATATATATATATTTATATCTACGAGTACGTATAGGATTACGGAACTCTCGCTTCTCTCGCGAGTTTAACGATTTTCGTGAGATTGTGCTAGCGCGAAATAAATTATGCGTATTACAGTAGACACGTCAGACGAGAAGATAAGGGTAAAGGGTAGCAGAGAATAGAAAAGAAAGAGATATAAAGAAGGAAGAGAATAGTAAAAAAAAGAAAAGATCCAAATGTGTCACAAAGCGTGAAATTTTTCTTTTTCCTTGGAAAAACGACAAGGGAAACATTTTTTTCATTCTTCTTCTTCTTCTTTCTTCATTTCTTATTTTCCACCTTCGTCCTCGTACTTTTTTTTCGATCAAATTTCCCCCTCCTCTCTTTCCCCGCCCTTCCTCAACATTCTTCTTTATCTTTTTCACCAACGTCCTTTTCTTTTTCTTTTTTTTTACTACTTTTACACGGAAATTCTTCCTACTTCTTTCCCTCGGGAAAGAAAAACTGATCGAGGATTCAGCTGGAACTGTCGAAAGCGTGTCCGGAGTAACAAAAGAGTAGGTGAACGCGACTATAGAGCTCTTATCTCGAATATGAAAATCGTTGTGCGTCGTTCGTATCGACGCCACTAGGATGGTTTCCACGATCGGTGAACGTTTTATTCGTGCCTGGCGTGTCTCCTTCAAGGAATTCAGATCTTTCTGTCTGTTTAGGAGATACCGAAAGCTAGAACGGTTCGTTCTTATGTAAGTGCTTATCTCGTCTACTCTTACGTGCTTTACCTTCTCATAAGAAAGGATTTCCAATTTTCTTCAGATAAATTCTTTTCGAAATTTTCTCATAGTTGTAATACTTGTTTTTTTTTTTTTTTTAATATTAAAAGTAAAAAACAAAGGAAATATGCTCGAGAATATAGCCAGGTAATTAGTCAAAATATCAATCAAATAAAATTAAATGAATGAAAAATATACAAATTGATTTAATTATTAAGGAATAATAACATTGCTCGTTTTTATTTTCTCTCATAGTTTTCTTTATTCATAAATATGTATTGTTTTTCAAGAAGGCTTCTGTCAAGCCGAAATCTTCTTGCTTCGTTTCTCTCTCTCTCTCACCATCTCGTTTACTTTTCATTCGTATTTTCTTTAGATAAAATATAACGGATATTCTAAAAGGAAAAAACAGGCAGAGCACGAATAAAACGGAAACGAGGACGCGCCATACGTACGTACGTAGATGTGCAATTACGAAGTGGATCACTTAACATTAAATTTAATTACGATTCGCCAACTGAATTTATTTCGTTTATTCATTGAGTCAAAGGAAAAAAAGCGTTTACCGTTCTACAGTATAATGATTTATACGTTTTGATAAAAAATAAATCGATAATCAAAAATATTTGTTCAACGTCAACGAGAAAATGAAATGAAATAAAAAAGAAAAAGAAAAAGAAAATCTTTCTTTTCCATTCTCGATTCAAGAGAACGTGATTATTGCGATTTTTCGTATCCATCTTTTCCTACTCTCTTTCTCTCTTTCTCTCTCTCTCTCTCTCTCTCTCTCTCTTTTTTCTTTTTCAGAAATTCGAAAGAAGATTTTCCAAGCATCGAGGCAACGTCTCGCCACGAAGTCCTCATATTTTCATCCCAGCGCGAGAACCTGCACAAGCTTTAATCGACCTGCTTCGAGTCTCGCAAACACTCGAGACTTCTGACTTGGCATTTTCCCTCGTATTACGTTCCGTGCTCCACCATTCCTGCTCTAGATAGAAAATGGAATCGCGTTTTTCTGTAAAAAGCCAAGGAAAAACGGCATTTCTATCTCTTCCTATTACTCTCTCTTTCTATATCTTTCTTTTATTCCTATCTCTCTTTCTCTCTCTCTCTCTCTTTTTCTTTATCTTTAATAAGTACTACGGAAGAAAAAAAAAAAACGATCGGATAGATCCTTGACAAATTTTTGACGATTTTCGAGAGATTATATCATCGAATTAAACAAGAAAATTATCATATTATATAAATAATATTTATAATTCCCTTTGATATTTTACATACAAATTAAAATGATTAAAAATATTAATAATTGCATTATTGAGATATTCTTAACAGATTCTTTACAAAAATATTGTTTTCAATTATTTACAGTAAATAGAAAAAAAGAAATATTTTCAATAATACGAATAAAATCGAAATCATAAAATTGTTCTACCTAAATATAACAATTCATAAATTGTTCAAGTCGACACTTGACTATTTCTAAAAAGACGTAAAAAACATATTACAAACTTAAGAAATAAAAATGAGGGAATATAAAAAGTATGAGGCACAGTTGTAAGGGATCTAAACGTGAACTGTGACGTATTGAAGGATATACACGTGGACCTGAACTGAGCACAGAAGGTGCGCCATGTGACGTTAGTATGTCGGAATGGTGATGGTGGTGGTGGTTGTGGTTGTGGTTGTACGTGTCACTCGAGAAAACGTACTCGCGGTTAAAAGTCGATGTGGTTAAACGTCGAGCTCCGAGAATGCACGTTTCTAATACGGCACGCTTCACTCTCTCTCTCTCTCTCTCTCTCTCTCTCTCTCTGTTTTTCTTTTTCTTTTTCTTTTTCTTTTTATATCTTTCTCTCAAATAGAAGAGAGAGAGAGAGAGAGAGAGAGAGAAAGAGCATCGAGGCAATGTTGGTAGCGTAATTTTAGGGAGCTGTGGGCTAACCACAGTAAATAATTCCAATTCGAAGCACAGTCCGGCAGTACTCTCATGCATTATGCATGTAACGTCGTCGGTGCAGCGTGCATAACGCACATAGTCTAGACCTAGCCGATACGGAGCATTGAGAGAGAGAGAGAGAGAGATATAGAGAGAGAAGATAGATAAATAAAGAGAAGGAAAATAAGAATGAGTAGAAAAATACAAGAATAAGAAGAAAAAGAAATAGTAGTAACAATATTTATATTAGTATCAGTGTTCTTTTTTAAATTCAAATTGTTTGCATTGATTAAAAATTGATTGCGATATGATTTAATGACAAGTGTGTCTTATAATTGAGCCGTTTATTTTGAAAGTGGCATAAGTGACTTTTTCAAAAAAAAAAAAACGAGTTAATGGCAACACTAATTACAACTGAACCGGTATCTTTTCATTTTCAATAAAAAAAAAAAGAAAATAAATGTGACTTATGCCACTTTCAAAATAAACGGCACAATTATATTGTTATTAAAATAAAATATTTCTATTTGATGATATCTCCAATACATTTGAACGCTTATCTCATCTCGATGATATAAAAAAAATCTATCCTCAAGCAATAAATTGTAAGAGAAATAAATCTAAAAAAGAAAAAAATAATGAAGAAAAAGGTGCGGTGCGCGTTATTTTTCTAGACAAATAAAAAGCTTTCTAAAGCTACTTTATTCCCTTACTTCGAGACTATTCCCGGTCTCTTTACTCGAACGCGCGTCATCACCAACATGATCCAATTTAACGAACGCTCGAAGAGAATCGATGCGAACGAACGTTTGTGCGAAAATCCGTAGAAATATCTCCGCGACGAATCACCCCCGTGAGACTTGGTCGTTTCTATTCGAATAGCTAGCTAGGTAGGTAGGTTTGTAGCTTGCAAGCTAGCTAGCTAGCTCTGTTCACTGAACTCTCGCGCGTATTCTAGCTAGCTCGATGAAATGGATTAAGGGTAAAAGCAACGACGAAAGGAATTCTGAAAGTGATAGAACGAGAGGGAGGAAGAGAAGAGATAGAAAGTGAAACACTCGAGGTAAGAGAAGAGAAAGATTAATAGCGTGTGATAAAGAAAGCAAGATGTTACTTACATTCGGTAGATCGCTATTTTAATTTACAATTGTTAAAGTCAATGTTATGTAATGTAAATATATATATGTCTTTCTTTATCTCTCTATCTCTATCTCTCTCTCTCTCTCATTCTCTCTTCATACCGATTTACTTTGGAATAAATTTCCTAGCGGTTTCAAACTGATTGCTATTTGTTCCGCGAATTTCTATATGACGACGTAACCGCAAACGAGAATTCATTATGTTTCGTCGTCCCTTTACGTTATGTAATATTGTCTAATAAATTATACAATAATGAATAAAGATCGATATC